TGTGTGTGTGTGTGTGTGTGTGTGTGTGTGTGTGTGTGTGTGTGTGAATGCCGTGTTCTTTTGCCTCTGCACACGCAGAGACAGGTGTACACGATTCTTGATTGGATTGTATGTGTGCGTGTGCACGCGCGCGCGCGCGCGCATGTGTAAACTGGCGTGGCACGTTCTTTGCGTTCTACCTGTTTGTGTGCGCACACAAGATACGGCGAAGATATTTCTTTTCCTTCTATCTCGCGCACACGACGCGAGTATATACGAAAGTGTGACTCTTTGATTTGCGTGTGTTACATGTAAACTGGTGTGGCGTGTTTTTGCCTCTCTGTGTGCGCGTATACGAGTGTGTGCGTAGCGTTACCGCTCCACGCACACAAACGCTTAACGCTTCATTTGTATGGGTAACGGGGCGCCGCGTGTTCTTTTACTTCTACCTGCAGCGATAATCTGACTCTTGTGGTCGTGTGCGTAGTCTATGTGTGTATATCGAACCGATCGCCGGGTTCTCTTCCTCCTGCTGCCACTAGCCGATGAGGAATTCTTGGCTTTATGTGTGAGGACGTGCGTTTGTGTGGCGCCGTTTTACCTGCTCCATAAGGTGTGCATTGGCATTAGGAAGAGATCGTGCGTACACAAGTGTGTGTGAATATGTGTGCGAGCATACTGCATAGTGTGAGAGATCAGTGATGTATGACGGGACTGGATGTCCCGAGAAGTCCGAGGGATTTAAAATAAGATACTTAATTAAAATAAATTTTGAGAAACACGAAAAGGATAATACACTCAACAAAGTCATTTGTTCAATTTTCGTTCAAGTTTTGAAATCTCAAATTTCGTCTGCGTGTATTTTTTCATTGTATAAAGAACTTTTAGTAAAAAAATGTTACTATTTATTAAAGTCTGATAAAATAATATCTTTCTTTAAATTTTTTCTTTTTTTGTTTTCAAAAATCGAAATGAATATATTTCATCAAAAAGTTCATTATGTCTTATTGTCACATTTGTTAATTTGTTGTAAAATATAGTATTGGAAATACATGTGTCTTTCATAAATATGACCGATTGTAAGTATTCCCCGATACATCGATAATCTAATCGATAGCAAGCAGTGCAATGAATATGACGTCAATAAATCATCGAGTCGTTTTTTTTTTACTTTGAATCGTCTGGAAGCGGAATAATTTTGCTGGAGAAGGGAAAGAAAACGCGAGCAGTATCGCCGGAAGTAATTCGATCGCGAGTTTCTATTGTGCTTGCAGCCAATGTTGTTGCCGCAACTTCCTCCACGTGATTTATTCGCAAGAAGTACTTATTGGTCCTGTCATATGTAATTTTCCAAGTGAACATTCCTTATTCAACCGTGTTCAATATAATCAAATATCAGAAAGTCCGATCTCTGTTCTGTGAACAGCCTTGTTCTATTTAATTCATATTATATTTATTGACGATTTATTAAGAGCACGCTGCAAGATCATATCTTCAATATCATTCTATCGCAAAATTATCTTTACAATTCCTATTCATCATAAATGAGACGAAATAAATATAAATTAACTATAGTAAATCAGAGCAGAATGCGGTATAACGATAGTTGATAAGTCAATGGCATCCCAATAATTATTTAATTTATGTTCACATTATAATTACTGTCAGTTATTTAAATACGTTATCTCAATTATTTTTTAAATTATTTATATATAATTTTTTATTAATTATTATTTGAATTATTTCATAGATAATCCTTATTGCACACTCTGTACCGGCGGGCACGTGATAGTATATACACAGGTCATTTCATACTTTCAATCTCTTCTTGTTCCTTTCCTTTCCATCACTCACTCAGTGAACTATTGTGATTCTGCGATCTCTCTCTCCCTTTCCCTCCCTCCCCCTCTCTCCCTCTTTCTTTCTCTTTCTGGCGAATCTTGCATAGAAATGTATCTTGCATACCTAGGTGAGCTGCAAACGAAAATTTGAAAGGATGCAGAAGGCTTACTACCTGTTGCACTCGACTTGCAATTGCATGTATGTATACTTGTCGCAAGAACGTAAACGCATCGCGTGAGATGCAATACAATATAGGATGGTGAACAGCTTGGGTGCATTAATGCGTTTTGATGCACGCTAACAGCCCTATCGCAAATAAATTTGCATAAGTACAATTAAGTTAGCATGCAAGCCTTAAATGCTTTTATGAACTTTTTTTATATTGATCATATGCCTATACATATAAGATTTTGTGAAATAATCTATTATGGCAAAATGCACAAAAACTAGTAGTAAAGCAATATAAACATATTATAGATGTGTTGCTTTATAAATAAGCTTCAATCGATTTATTAATTTTTTATGATTAGAAATATCGGATGATTAGAATTATCGCACTATATGAGTTTTGCAAGATTGCTTCTCAAATTTCATTCACGCATCGCTGAATGCCAAAGCAATTCACTTGAAATGCATTCAAAAATAAATGCACGAATTAATCTCGGTTTTAGATGATACAACAGTATTATCTTGATAGTAATTTTATATTTTAATTCACTTGCTTCCATCGAATTATTCCTGAAATTCTTTGTCAAATTGGATGATACATTTTAAAAAATAATAAATTCAGATAACTTATATATCATTAAAATTTTTTATAATTACTTTTTTCATATATTTATGTTTTTTCATATTTTATATCAAACTATTTTGTAAAAGATAGATGTTTAAGTGTTAGAAAAGAAGGAGTTAGGAAAGAAAAACTGACAGAAATTACGACAATAATAATAACGATGAGAGCATCAATAATTTTCTTCAATGACAGGATATAGCAGTTACGATTACAAAATATATGACTGCGTCCTTACTACGTTACAAAGCGTATAAGTTCGTCATCAAAATACTACATGTTTTCAAATCATAAAGCCGAGACAAACGGCGAAGGTCAGAGAATCGACTCTCAATAATAAACGAATGGTTGGTTTTCAGTTTCAATATATAAAGTTGTGTATATATATACATATATATAAGTAAATCTTACCGTTATTCGATTTGTTCAAAATCATATAAAAGGTTCTAAACATTAATTAAAAGCTATTAAAGCTTGTTCAAAATCATATAAAAAGTTCTGACATTTTAAAGCTATTAAAGCTGTTTGTTCTATATGTCACTTAAATCCCGATTTTTTGTATAAGTATCAACATTCTAAAAATTCTCTCGCGAAACGAGAAAAATGCGAGACAAACGTAAAATATGGGAAAAGTTCCGTGAATTTGCTTTTTCTTCTTCCTGGATGTTTCGATCGTTCTTTCGTTTCTGCAAATTTTTGAGGGGTTCGTTCTCGAAATACTTACATGATCCTCAAAAGTTCCCAACCTCGAGCATCTTCCACCCTCTGAAGAGCCTCGAGCAATTCGTCTAAATGTTCTTCCTCCATCGATTATATCACATTATGCGATGCTTCTAACAAAATAAGATTCACCCGAACTTTTGTATTTTCATCGAAAACGAGACTATTTAGCGGTAACTAATCCCCGATTGTACGTGCTGTCGGGCGTCACGTACGGCGTCACACTGGCTCGGAATGTTGATACCGCCGATACCGGAGCGGCTTCCTGGGGTGGTAAATGTGTCCAACAGCACATTCCATTTACATCTTACATCCTATCGACGTCACGGCGCGAGTGACGCGAATAACTTAAATGAGAGATATATCTTTCGCGCATCTCGAGAAAAAAAAGTCCATTTGTCTTCATATATCATACAAAAATCACTTTCTTTTAATTTCTTTTAATTAATTATCTATTACGTGAAAGACATATATATATATATATATATAATATTACTTTCCTAGTGTTACGTATGTGTATGCGTGTGTATAATCCAAAGTAATCCATATTATATTGCACCCGCGATATATAGATAAATATAAGGAATGGCGAAAACATTTGCGTCGCTCATCAATAATGAATTAATCCCATGATACATGTACAAATCTCAGAAAAATACAGGAGAAAGAACTTTTGGGATATCACAATATACCATATATATGTATATTTTTTAATGTACAGATTTCTTGACCAATACGGATTCGATTTGATTTCTTCTCGTAAAAGTAATTTTGCAAATATCTTCTGAAGCATCCAAATTGGTCGAGGAATCTTCAGGCGAAAGAAAATACAGGGAATTTAGAATACCCTGTGTGTGTATATATAAATATATGTACATATGTGTATTTCCTGTAAAGATTTCGATGGACTAATAGCGTTTTTCATCGGCTGAGCTGGTGCGCATTCAGTGCACATTAAAGCCGTCGTACACAAACCAACGTATATATAAAGTGTATGTTTAATATAAACGGGTTAAATCATGAAATCCTCAATATTCCTTATTGCACTATTTGGTAAAATATGTACTGGGTATTTTATCAGTCGAAATATTTGCATTTTACTTTAAATATTAGAGATTAAATCAGTGTACAACGGCTTTAATGTGCACTGAGTGCGCACCAGTTCTGCCAATGAAAAACGCTATAAGATGCGAGGACTAAGAACGATTGTATGCATTTTTCTTCGCAGAATTCACGTTTTAAATGGACATCTTGCGTCGCTGGTGTAATCACGATTCGGTGGAAGGTTTTTTAATGTATTTGAGTAGTGATATATATACATACTATTAGACAATTATATCCGAAATTGCGGCACGTCGTGCAATATGAACAGTCTTTTTAGAAACAATTTATATACGTATGTATATTCATATCGCACAATAGATTCCAAAGATCGAACCATTTTCGTCCTCGGATCTTCGCGAGATCCATACGCCATTCGTGCAATACCGAGGTGTTCGCGAAGTTATAAAAGAGCCATCGCGATATCGTACCATGAATAGTGGAATTTAGGATTCAATTGGCGTGGCCCGAAAAGCCCAGATCTCATTCGGTGTAAAATCGAAGGCAACAATGCGCAGCGAATCGATCTTTTATGGCACGAGCATTTCGTTATAATCTCATGATACTTTAAGAATCTTTCTTGGGGTACGAAAGATTTTGACGATTCAAGACTCGAATTGTTAAATCACAAATTCACTCCGAGACTTTGTCGAATATTCTGCACGTATCATATGCAACATATAAATTTTGTTATGAGTGTTAGGTCCGTATGATCTTTTATTATATAAATTTCTAGTGCTGGTCTACAACCTTGTTTTTTAAGGGTATTTAAGCTCTAAGCCGTATAAGAAATTGACCAATCACAGTCGAGTATTCTCCTCACATTCTACTGTGATTGATCAATTTCTTACGGCTTAGGGCTTGAAGCACTTATTGTAGACCAGGACCTATTTGGTTAAAATATTCGAAAGTTAATTAACGCGAATTTGGCATTTTTACAGAAAAATGGTATCATGGTAGTATCCCGATTCTGTATGTATGAATTCGCGTCATAGTACGATAAATATATATCCAACTGTGTACTTTCCCTATGATGGACAATCGTACGTTTAATAGTAAAAGTACGAGACACATGTAGATTATAAAATTGACAATTGTTGCGCAATGACATCAGGCTATTGGCGAATGTACAATGCTCCAGAGATATCTACCTTTTTCGTTCTTCTTTTTCTTTTCTATACATAGTCGCATAATCGCGGAATTCGAGAAAAACTCCATAATTGTCAGACTCCGCGAAGAGACAGGATTTACACATAAGAGACTATCGCAATCGAGTCGTTCGTTTCAAAAATAATGTGAGGATATAACTTATAAACAAAATAAAAATAAATCTAAATTAGCTAGGTAAAATCAGCTTGTTAGAATAGAATATTTAAGCAAAAAGTACAATATTTAAATTAGATTGGAAATTCTACCTGTTTTAATAAAGATTTTTACCGTACGATTTTTTTCCGTCACTTTCAAAATGAACGCCACGATTTTGCATAACACGCACACACAAAACTGCATTCAGCCACGTACATAAAGAGATGCATTCATTATTCTACATTCACCCAATAACTTTGCTATTGCTCCACAATTTTTTTTTCGTATATTTTTCCCTTTTGCAGTAACGCGCAAATTTGCTCTCAAGACTTTGCTCACGGCAACACTTGCTATCGGTGTGTGCCTTTAATATCTTTATTCTAACTTTGAATCACGATTAATCTAAGCAAGAAAATGGACTTGCAATCGATTTTACCACACTCCCCCAGAATTCGTTTACTCTGAACGCTGTATTAGTGAGCAATGTCAAGTTGGAATTGATGATAAATATAAATGATTCAATAATCTTCAATAATAATCTTTTTATCTCGGTGAAATAAAAAGATGCTTTCGAAAGCTCGTCAAGGACTTAACAGTCACCATTATTCTGATAGAAAGTTGATGAAAGTGACTATTAATGCGAGAATCTTTCATAGAAACTCTAATCTCGACATTTAAATCCAACAACGAATGTCAAAACCGACAAATTTTTACCTTGTAACTGGATGGCTTGGAGTCAAAAGGACCAAAGATTCACAATATCCTCGTCTTTCAATTTCAAGAGTGATCCGGCACGTTTATCGTTGGATCAACATCGCGCGATATTAGATCTCTTAACCTATCTTAACGCTGCGAGAAAATCTTTATAAGATAAAACATTGCGTCGACTAAAATCAGAATCCGCATATCGGAATTAGAGAAAAACGAGGGTTTATGATTATCGTGACTCCGCCTTCGTTTTCGGCGGCCTGAAGGCTTTTAATTTCTTTGCCTTCTTCTGCTTTGTGGCGCTTGTGCCGGATTGAAATGCCTTCCAGCTGTCGACGCGCGATTGTCTGGACTCCTCGAAGTTTCGTTGCCATTCGCGCTCCATTGCTGCCTGGGCTTCCGCAGATAATTCCTCTTCGCGTTTTCTCTTACGTTGTTCTGCATCTCTCGTGGCTAGTTCTCGTCTGTAAACGAAAAAGAAACGATTTCAGATTTCAGATAAATGTATTTAAACGCTCAGAGGTAGAGCGTTTAAGGTAAATGAACCAGTGCCGGGACATTTAAGACCTATGTCTGGACATCTTTATCATTTTTGTTCGCTAGCCCTTTATGAAATGGTTTATATTATGCGAGCTAGACTAATTGTTTATCATTTTAGTATTTAAATAAGTATAACGCGAATTAAAATTAAAAATAAAGTATAATACAAGGAAAATATTTTTATTTTTGATTCTTTGATTTTAATTCGCGTTATAACTTATTTAAGGACTCAAATGATAAAAATGTCAGACATAGGTACGTGTCCAGGCATTGGTACATTTACCTTAGTTTACTAATTTCTTTCTAATAACTATAGTTTACTGTTTAAAATAAAGATGTGAACTGACCTTCTTCGCTCCATATCGGCGAACAGTTTCATCGTCATAACCCAGACTGCGTGTCTGTAGCCTTCCTCAGTTTCTTCCTCCAAAAGTGTCGGACCCGAGTTCTCAGATCTTCCTTCTTTCTTCTGCTTTTTCTTTTTTTCTGCAATCTTTAAATTTCAATATTACATATCGTATAAAAATTGACTGGAACGCAATGCGCTTTGTTGCAAAGGACAAAACTACTATACTTACCATGTGATCAGTTCGAGCTTTTGCCTCCTCAATAACGTCCATACATTTTGATCTAGTTTCCTCGTTTTCCAAAGTTTTCCACGCCTTATTAACAACTGCAATTAATAAGATGTTTTTTTTTTTACAGATTTACATATTTATCAATTATAGCGCATATATTTTCTTCAACTGAATCTGTTACATGAACTGAGTCGGTTATATTTACTTTCAAAGGCTTGCTGTGCTCTTTCAGCGTCATCCTGATTTTTGTCTGGATGCACCAAAATTGACATCTACAATTTTAGGGAATCAACAAATCAGAAATTAAATTACACAATACAATCAGAATTAAATTATAATACCTCTTATTCGGAGAAAAATATAGATAGATACGTACACGACGGTATTTCTTTTTTATTTCCTCTATCGCTGTGCTCGGATCAATTTGTAAAACTTCAAATGGATTCAAATTGAAGTAGGATGACCCAGGTCGCAGTAGTCTGTCAATTTGTTGCTTAGGGGTCAGCACAGAATCTCTCTTTTCAATTTCTTTAACCTACAGAAAAGTACAATTGCTTTTTGAATAATGATACGAAAATGATTATATAAACAAGTGTATATAATTAACTATATTATTAATAAATCAAGGCATAAAGATGTAACAATGTGTAAACAAATTAAATATAATTAATCCAATATTATTATTAAACTTTTTGACAATAAAACGTAACAAACTTTTACTACATAAAACTTTATCCTATATATATTCTGTCGGTCTTCTTTAAATTGTATAATAATAGAAACTTATTTTTAGAATATCCAATATATAAAGTATGTGCTATATAAGCAAGTATGAATGTCATGGTAGAAGAATGCAAGAAAAATGCAATTATGCCGAGGTAAACAGTTTTGCAAATGAATGCTATTACGACAAGGCTGTTATCAGAGGAGTGTCGTGTTTATCTTCCTCAAACCGAGATGGGGAGAATAAAGAATGCAATTACGAATTGGACAATAATAACTTCGTTAGAGAAAGCCTTGTTAAATAAAATACACGTCTATCGTAATGATAATTCCGATAGCAATTCTATAAAGCGTAATTATACAGAAATAGAACAATTATGTAGAAATAGAAGGAAACTTCGACACAAACATATCCGTGCAGGTTAGGCGAGTTCTAATGTTTACGGTGTTAATCTTGCTCGCAAGATTCGGCTACGTACGATAATAAAGGACGGTTAAAACACAAATAGACATTATGAGACGTCTGTTGTTATTTTATTTCCAGCATAAAGTGATACTTGTCGTGGTTACTGTTCCGAGCTTTGTTTACGTCGCCGTTCAAGAGCGAGAGGATTGAGTATCGTTTCGCCGGCGGCACCGTACGTAAAGAGACGCTGAGATTAACGAAAAGTCGCGTACCTCCGTGTAAAATTCGTTAAATTCATCCTCCTTCTTGGCGGGATTTTCACTTGATAAACTGGAGTCGGCGGAGGCCATCTTACTTGTTACAAGCTCGAGAGGCTCCCGATGGTGCTGCCGACTGGCGGAAGATCGCGACTTTATCGGCACAGCTGATGCACCGTCGCTCATGACAGTACCTGTCTTATCGACATTTAAAAAACGCTAAAAGATTTTGACAAAATTATAACTCGATTGACATCATTTTTTCATATTCTTATCTGAGTTTTTAATTAAAATATTAAAAATGAGGAGCAATATAAATTCTAGGAGATATAAAACTGAAACTAATAAAAAATAAAAATCTTTGACAACAATTCTGATTCATAAAAAACGCAATAAATACTTTATTTTTAAATATAAGTATCTGTTTTTAATGTAAAATATATAGCAAATCAATAACTATAAAATGAATGAAAATTTATTCAGACAAATTCTTGTTTTTTTTTAAATTAGTTTATTAAGATAAATCCTTATTTATTTTTTAGGGAATGGCGAAGAAAGTACGGTCAAAATAACACGTCGGTGTGTTCAATGTAAAATTTTGTAATATTTTATTAACAAAGCTTAACAGCCAATAAACAAGTAATGCCTCTTTCGCGATAACAAAGACACATCGAACGAAATCAGAGCGTTATTATTATTGCGGCATACACTTCCGTCAAACTGATCGGTTGACTAGGATCTATATAATATAGTTGATGTAAACTAGCCTATGTAAACATACAATATCAGCTACTCACTATACCCCCTCCGTTGGGAAAACTCACAGGTGTGATAAATAGGAGGGCGGATCGGTGAAATCGCTATAGCGTAACGTTCTATGAATATCTAGCGCTTGTTACGTTCTTGCTATCTAATCTAGCATGATTTCTAAGTCTAATTGTTTTGCTATTGAATACTTGTTCAGACATAAGCTGTCGTTACGGTCGTCCAATCGCGAGGACAGCACCGTCAATGGACAAAGACTTGAGCTGCGTTCTTGAAAAAGCTCACCTTCCAAGATTGATTAGCTCCTAAAACTCGTAAAAGAAAAAAAAGAGAAATGTCCAAGCGATTTGTCGCGGAGAGTAAAAGCTCCGAAATAAATGTATAACAAACAGCTTGCTTTAAACAATAAATAGAAGATAAAAGTACATTTTTCCGTATACTTGAAGAAACTAGATCTTTTATACAGTTGTATCAACTCCTCTAATCTCTAATCTAAAGAAATGAAGAGTTAGATGCGGTCCTCGCGATTTCCAATCGTAACGGAACGTATTCACAACAGTTTTAGTTCTCTTGCACATGACTATATATATGCTACGACCAATTAATGATATCAACAATCGAAGTAGGAAAAGCGTGTACGTGTAACAACGATTACTCTATAATTCATTAAAGATCAAGTCAATTCGGAAACGTGCGCGTGTAATAAATCACACGGAATCTCAACGCTGTCAGTAATTGTTTTTGAAACTTTGCGATCTTAGATAGCAATTAATTTTTTCAGATGATTTTAAAATAACGTAGACCAATAACATGTATTATATATTGTTATTTCATTGCGCACAATCGTTATATAAACAATAGAAAAGTTATATGCGTGATTGACTGGCTCGCAATATTAATTATAATTGTTAATAAAATTATGCTAATTGCTTTTATAATTTTGATTATAATTATAGATAAGAATTACAGAAAAAAATTATATTGTTGTGCACTAATTTCTATTATCAATATAGTTCCAAGAAAGATAAATGCAGTCATAGAACAAACTTTTTCAATTTTCAAGCATCTTCTGTACGTGGAAGAAGGAATATCTTTCTTGCTTTAATGCTAGTTCAAGACTCACGAACTTTGAACAGCTCTCGCGTTATAATTCCGTTGACGTGCTTCGTTGAATTGCACGCTTACGATGCCGACGATATTTATTACAGCGCACATTTTACAAAGTACGCAAAAGCTAGCTGAACTAACGATACTTCTATATACTGGGCACTATACACCGAGACTCTAAGTAAACGGGGTCGCTTCACTTCGCTGACTGAAACGAATGATGAGATGTATTTACGCAGAGAGTGACTGTTTAAGTCTGTAACTTTTATGCAGAATGTCCCGCCATCAGTAACAGATTCCTCGAATTGTTTCGTTCTTATCTGCAATCCTGCTAAAAACCAGCGTACTGAAAAATATAGAAGTTAACTAAACCCGATAGAATCGGTTTCAAAGGGAGTCTAATAAACTAAGCTGAAAGATTAGATTTCGATTATTGTGTATATTGAAAATAATTTAAATTTGATATTCAATAATTCAATTCTCCACAAAATATATTCCTCTGTCGATAGTTCTGCCCTTCGTAAAGTCCCTTTATTCCGAGCGAGACACTTTGCATAAGGTTCCGTATTTCGTCACAAAGAACTAAGCGATGCCGTTCTCCCCTCAGGGTTGTTTCCATTCACGAAAAGTTTGCCAAAATATATTTCTTCGTAAAAATGTTACATCTGTATATATATTGCACTCTTATCAATATGCAACCAAAGCGCTTAGTATTAGAAAGCGGATATAGCACATATATCTATGTATATGTACATATATATATACCTACACATACATACATGTATATATACGTACATATATGAGTTCGACGTGTAGAAGAGAGCAGATTTTAAAACGTTAGATCTTTTTTTTTTATGTAAACATGCTTTTCGCGCGAAAGAGCGGGCACCATTACACAGATAGATAATGATAATGCGATGATTATAGACAAATAGATTGGTCGAGAATATCATCTGTGAATTTGCAAACACACTTAATTAGGAGCGACGACGAGATCGAGAGAAAGTCGAGTTTCCTCACAACGGAAATCCAACGGGTTTCTCGCGATTAACATATTATTGTACACTTATCCATGTATATTTAGTCGTTAATGGTCCTTCAATCTCCCGCTATGGTCATTTTATTTCATCATCAAATTGACGTATTATTGGATACTGTTTTATTTTACCAACTTTAAAATTAATTAATGCATAACGTATTCTCAGTTTTGACATTTAAATTGAAAATTTTACGTCAAAGGATGGTAATTACGATTTGTTTATTATTATCTACACATATTTAATTTGTAATGCTGTAAAATAAAGATAAATAAACAGCTTGTATAAAAATTGATTAAACTTTTGTATTTAAAACGTTTTTATAAAATAAGGGCAAATAATTAAGAGAGATCGAAGAACCGTTAACAATCAGATAGCTTATTACAATACTAATACAATTATGTAAATCTACCATATACACACTCTTTAAAACACATTCGGTAGATCTCTCATATCTGTCATTTGTATACGTTCATTATTTATATATTTCATTTTTTTTAGACGATATATAAATGGCCATTTTCGCTGAAATAATCTTTAACTTTTACTATGTACTCTCAAACTTCCATCAAATTTCTTCTAGCATTGCACATATTTATATACAATAATCATTATATTTGTTATAAAGAAATATATATGCGCAACATAATTTCAATTATAAAAAAAATTTAACATCATGAAACCTTACGATTGAAAGAGTTTTGATAGTAAAAATATTAATAAAATATTTGTTATAAAAATAAATAAACGCAATGAGAATTGTTTAACGTTATAAATGGATCGAGAAGTAATAGTTGGATAACGATCAGTTCAGCGAGCGAGAGCACGGCTCTCGGAGTTACAGCCAGTACACTATAAAAATGTGACGCAGAAAACATACACACGCACACGTACCCACAAGCAATTGCATTCGCACGCGCTCACGTATAAACTTTCAAAATCTATTTGGCACTCTCCTAGTTTCATCGAAAAGGCGAGCACACTTGCTATTATTTTTCAATTCAGAGACATTGCATATCGAGTAGCTTTATTCCGTCGCTACATACACGGTTTTTTTAGCGGTACGCTATATCTTATATGTATATGTTCATCTTATACGTTATACAGTAATTGGTCTAAGAAAGTTGCCGGTTGCATAAAAAATATCAGCTGCGCCGCCCGGAGCGAGTCAATCGCCCGGTGATAATCACGAGTCACAATGTAATTCTCGTTACAGTCATATTGTAAAAGCCTTTTTTGCATCGCACGATTTTCATACGTATAATCGGTTTGCATTTATTCGCCTTAAGTGCACAATTTTTCTAATTCACAATAAATGTTTCTACAATAAAAATCAACCTTCGACTCGCACGCGAAAAATATGAGGTCAGTCCATAATTCTTCATTTTTATCGATTTTTGATAATCTTGATTCAATTATGACTGACATTAACAACACACCGTATGGAAAATCGTACAATGAAAGCGAGCTTGAAGAAGTATAACAACCAGAGTTTAATTAGTGATAAAGGGAAAATTGAAGATCTTAAGATTGAAAGAGTCTATGCGCATCGACTATTTTGCTCCAGACAAGCTGTGTGAGTCACAAATAAAATATAAAACTCACAATCGCAGTCATTATTAGTAAATTATTTTCACACATATATCTATAATTATATTATCTGACGTATAAATTCCAATTTAATTTAGAGAAGCTCACAGTTATGACAAATCTTACTTATAATAAACAAAAATATAATAAACAATAAGTTATATAAGATAAAAAATTGTAATTAAAAAATATCACAATACTTATTGTAAAAATTTTTATATTTTTTTTTACTTTTTTACTCTCCAAAAAATCGTTCGTCGATATGAATAATACAGGTAATTTGTTAGTATTTAAACATTTGTAGAGAGAGAGAGAGAGAGAAAGAGAGACAGATTTCAGACTCTTCAATTGATATTCATTTACATTATCATATATGGATCAATCCATAGATTTATAGATTAATTATTTTGGTCACATATATTATTCACGGATTGGATATATATACAAGACTACAAATATTTTTACACAATTTGCATCGTAAAACGGATAAATAGATATAAAGATTTCCATATGGCATGTGAATATTTAGAGTTTTCAAAGTGCCGGAAAATATATCCCGATTATACGGAATGTGAAAGCTTTGTCCTTAAGGTGTTGCTAATTTTGAAAATTTTTCTGAAAATTTTTACAAAATCAAAAATATTTCTGCTTGCAAAGATGTATAAAGAGTTTCCATTTCTGTATTAAAAAAAAAAAACACTTCTTTAAACTTCTTTTACCGTGGAAATACCCTGCAAATTTTTTTTCGAAAACCGTATAGATTTTCCAAAAAATAAATCGTTTAGAATACAAATTTGCTATTCCAAGACATTAGAAAATAATAATAAAATTGAGAATTAATCAACTGTATTTTTGTTTTAAAAATCCATTAAATTATAATGACATGAAAACTTATATGAGAATATCTTTTGTATCAACGTGTCTTAATGTTCTTTTTATTTACACAATATATAATAGGAGTTAAATACGTACGTCGAAAGCTTTATAGTCTAAATGTTCAACGCGGAAAAAAAAATTTTATGAACGTGCTGGATGCAGACATATTATTGCTAGCGATTTTTTGTTAAGTCAATTACATGAATTTTGATGAATACTTTGATCTTTTTCCAGCAACATCGTTGCTAAATATGCTAACGGATATTAAAATTCAAACTATAACGTCCAAACTATAACGTTCAGGCAACAATATACTGCATAATGTACTGTATAATGTCATTGATTACTGTCGCTCAATAATCTGATGTTATTGTTGTTACATCAGGAGTGTGATGATAGAAAAGTTATTATATCCATCCATCACGAGACCTATCAAAACGAAGCCAAAACATTGGAGTATTGACTTCCGTGTGATCGATGCTATTTTTAAAAGAGGAGATATCTTTTAAAAATATTTCCTTTTAGAAAAAATTTTGATTTCCACATTTAATTAAAAATTAGCATAGAAAGCATTGTTTTGATTTCGAAACATATTGCACGCTTCTCGCCTGTATCCAGCTTCGTGAATGATGTTCGAGGATACTAGTTAGATTTGATTAGACATTTTGATGAATTACACTTCGTTTTGATTACACAGTGCTAGAACGGTTTAGAAGGGGGATACAGTGTCGAGGGGAGGGGGAGCACTAACCATCGGCGGACATTGGAAAGGGCCCGCAAGCACGATCGAGGAGCCTCCATGTCGTCCCAATGTCTGCCGCGCATTATATTTTGCATTTTGATTTCGGGCTGTCAGCCATTTCTTCTTTTATATGTACTTTAGTATACAGTATACATCGTTACACGCTTATAGACCTTAACGATACAAGAACAACAAAATCCTAGAGGACCCTCTTATTACGATTGCATCTCGAATTAATTGCTGGCGCTAATTCACGTCGGTGCAACTGCATTACGTGCAGGTTGCATTTTGCGTTACGCGCGACCATGTAACACGTGCGTTTTATACTGGGTTCTGTCGTCGTTTACGTAAATACTTACATGAGGTATAGCTCTTGGAGAACATGCATGGCACATTTTATATGTCGGACAACCGATCCGATGATATCCCCCTGTGTTTATCAATATCGAACAGCACGATATGCATATTCATATGCACACAGATGCAAATAACTCTGAGCGAAAGTCCGTCGGGAAAGAGATTTGCGAAAACGTCAATTTTTAATACAATACCGACGATCAACAGACTTTTATCCTCTCACACGAATTATTCAGCAAGTCATTCAATAATTTCAAAATTACGAATTATTTTCGCTCGGGCAATCGTGTTCTGATTCGAGCCTGTTTTGATTTATTTTTATTTTGCGATTTTTTGACGAGTAAGTCGTAATTGCTTTTCTTGAGAAAATCTTTAAGTTTAATTTTGAAATGTTTTTAAATTTCTCACGAGATAATAGAAATAGAATATTTTTCGAATAGAATATTTTCGTTAATATTTTTTCTTTTATTATTAAGCACTTCTCGCATAATTTCTCGAGGACTTTTTCATCGGAGTGTGTATGATAAACATGATGTTGATGATATGTTCGTTATGCCAAATTAATATTTAATTAATGCTCATCTTCCGAGCATCTTACATTATTTAATATAATGTGTATGGAGAATGTTACACTGTAAAAAATTTAATGTCCCAGAAAGTCCACTCTAAATTTTGTGTTAAAATAACACGATGAATGAGTTATTTTAACATAAAATTTAGAGTGGACTTTCTGGGACATTAAATTTTTTACTGTGTACTTACGATTATTATCGTCAAGCATACGGAATCTTATTACATACTTAGCTATAAATGCAACTGTTTTATGGTGAATTTTATGTGAACCCCAATGATATTTAATTATATCAACTAATTTCCTTTCTGTCCAATATGATCTATCTAGCGTTGGAAAATCGCGCTTGATACAAATACTCGAAAACTGCGTTTAACGCTAAATGTACGGTAAATGTAATGCGATTCTATCCTATCTATGTATGAATATGTCCATGCCCTGGAAAATCTCGCGCTGCATTAAAAATAAAAATGTATACACGTGACATTCTTGCCCTTCTGTTCCTGCATGAAAGAAACATTAGTTGATCCATATGACACAAATCTTAGCTTATTTCGCGGTACGTAATGAAGGCGTTGCGTGTATTTTAAACAGGAGACCATTAATATTTATGCTTTGTACATACGACAGAATAGCCGATTAATATTCAACACTACGTGCATATTTTTGGTTACGTAAAAAAAGTGATTGATAAAAATGTAAATTATATCGTTAAAAAATTGATTTTTAATTGAAATCGGCTTGAACAAATATCACTTCATTTAAGCTGAAATGTGAGGACAAAAAATTCATATTACATCACATTTTATCTATCAATTTATGATTCATCCCCAAATATTCAGTGCTGAAATAAAAACTCGCGTGTATGTGTGTACATGTGTGTGTGCTAGTTCCACTTTAAATCTGGATCTATATTTTAATTCATACATTTTGAATTTATTATTTTAATTTCAAGACATGCATTCATGTCTTATAAAATGCTGTTTAAATACACATAGATTTAAATTTGAAATATTCCAATATTATATACCAAATATGTGACTCGAATAATCCACACAAATTTCCGCATTTAAAATTGGCCTTGTGAATTTGTGTTAAATCATTAATCAATATTTCTTATTCATAAACGTGTATTCAGTATTCTCGAACGCTTCAAACCGCCTAATCTCTGTCTCTGTTCGCAGATAAAAAGCGAGGATTCAAATATTCCAAATTTTACATACTAAATATATATATATGCACGCACAATACATCCAAATATTCCAATAAAATCTTCATATTCAAAGTTAACCGTATTGTAAATCTTAGTTTCAAGTGTTAAATCATTAATATTTTTCGTTATAAATACATCTTCTTCTCGCAGAACGTTGCTCGAGCGTCTCGAGTCGTTTAATCTTTGTCCTCTTCGTAGGTAAAGCGAATATTCGGTCGCGCGAGACCGACGACGTCCTTTATTACGAGAGTCCTACATAGCAGGAAGCAGGTAATAACGTGCTCCACATTGACACCACTCTCACAATTTCACGCTAATTTCACGCACACGAGTTACAGCTATGTACAAACACACGCACACGTTCTTATACGAATTTACTCGACACCCCGTGGATCCTTGCAAATTGTTCCTAATTCATTACGGTACATCACATGCATACGACACTCACTATTGATAATAGCGCATCTAGTCTCTTTTATTTGTGACGTGCGAGCGACTATTCCGATCCAAAATCAGAAATTATAAAACAATCTCTTGGCCTCTACGCTGGGATTCTCGCGAATCCTGCTACTTGGACTTATTTGCTTGGAAGGACTCGCGAGTCTCTTCTTACACAAAGTGACACAAATAGGATTTTTTTAAATATTAAATTTAATATAAAGTTCTCTAGAATCACATCATTATTATATTTTATTCGCGAACTTTATTAATTACTTCGGAATTACGAAAATTCAGCGCGATATCATCTTCTTTATAATATTTATCTCGAATTTAATCATGAATTGTATTAAAATCATCTAACTATATAACGATCTTTTTTCATTCTCCGTGAAATAATTTCTACCTTTAAGCATCGAATAAAGCTGATTTTCTGTCGATTTGTTTCTTTTCCGCGATGATTAAACAGCAAGTAGCAGCATTCTCACGGATATACGAGAACAACCTCGTGACCTACCTTGACTCCACGACTATTCCATCTTCATGATTTGCGGCGCTCTTATAGCACGTCGAGGTGCTCGTTGCTACTGGCACGACGTTCGATGACGTACTTCAGCGTGATATTCAACCCCTTATCATCTCTCCCGCCTCTTGCCGAAACTTTACAAAACACGCGCGAGGAAGAGCGGGTCTAACTTACCTGCGAGAAACTGTATACGATTGGTGCAAGATTTGCCCCAAGATTCGAACGAACAAAGATGACGTTGTTGTTGGCGAGCGGCTCGTCAAGGGTGAGGAAATGGGAATTCGCGGAGATATTAGGTATTAGGATAGAACATAAAATCACAGGAATTGCTCTGTCCAAAAACGGAATCATCAGTCGAAGCTGAAGCGTTCTGTGGTTCACCCCCTTCACCGACGACCACGCGGCGACCTCGAAGAATTCACAGGGTCATACGTGGCGAACGGTGGAGGGGGTCGGGCCGCTATGCTTGGTCCACCTCGTGACAGACTTCCATATAGTCCGGGTTGTGCATTATATCCTTTATCATGTCCTTCAGTATTGTGTAACGCGGGAACATCGGATACAGCTTCGAGCCGTTGTACTCCTCCTGCGACAGAGAAAGTGGCCCTTATTTCGGTCATTAATAAACGACAAATTATATGCATGCCTGTTTTTTGTCCTGGGTTTCTCATGATCCTATTCTCCATAGTATTTTTGATTCATAACTGATGATTTATGTGTGATGTGTGTGTGTGTGTGACTGTATTCATCACCAAAATTTAATAAACCAAATCTTTTCCGAGAGAAAGTTTTTAACCCTTTAGTGCGTAATTTTGCATATGTATATGCAAAGAAACTTTTCGATGCACCGTGTACTTACTCTCCCTTATGAAATGCGAACTGAAAACGCACGACTTTGCACATCAGTAAAGGGCTTTCTGTGGCCCTTTTTTCCCTTCTGAATGAGAAAACCCAGAAGATTATTATTTATTTAAAAAATACTCGGAATGCTACGAAAAATTGCGTATTTAAGGGTTAAACTATAATAAAACGTAGGTCAAAATGGAAAAAATTAATTCTAAACCATGAAATTAATTTTTCAGGGAGTGGAGAAAAATGTGTCCAAACAGTTTCTTTGACTTCAAAAAAGTATTATCCACGACAATTTCCAAGTGTATATTCGCGGAAGAATCAAAGAACGTGAGTTGATATTACGATACCTTCGGTCGTCTTTAATCTCTGATTTATTTGATACTTTACGGAAGAAGAACGTAAAACGAGTAGATGATAACTGCCGTATTATCGAGCGGAAAGCGTTATGAGAGTAGCGGTACGCAACTTATTGGAACATAAAAAGAAAAAGGGCGATCGTAACAATGTTCTAATATGACAGCTGGTGTTACGTTTTGTCCGCTGTTGAACAGTATTATCTTTTTACGACCATACTCGCGGAATTGTATACGATATAATTCATGTCAAATATTCATTCTGATCAGAAAGAACATTGTTATTTAAAAAATATAGTCTTTCCAATGAATTTTAATTTGAAAATAATAAAATTGAATAAATCATAAAATTGCATAAATTACATAAATGAGAAAATAATGTTAAATTTTTTGGTTAAATTAATTATTAAATTAATTTAATACTGATATTTCAAAAAAGTTTAACTTTGATGCCGAAATACTGTTTTACATTAACTATAAGATATAAAGAATATGTTCAATAAAATTTCGAGTTAAAATTAAAATACATTTTCACACGGAAAAAGAATCAACAGCATCATTTTTTGTATCAATAGCATCAGTGTTATTAAGATAAAATTTATTGATGCAATATCAATATTAATGTACAAAAAACATCAGATAATTGTTTTAATAATTTAAATATTTGGTCCAATAATATCCAATTGAATTAACTATTTATGCTTGTGGCAACTCGTGACGTCGACGTTTAATTGAAGCAACTTTATTTTTTTTCCGTGCAGATATTATGGATTAGTATTCACGCAAAATGTAATTTCCTTTAGACATATCTTTTTATGTGATAAGTAAGTTAAACGTTGCAAAATACGTACTTTCAACACTTTGATGAGATTCCTGAGACCCGTGTACTTCTTCAGCAATCTGTACAGATCATTAGTCATCTGGGTGTTTTCAGCTTCGATTTGCGCCGTCGTCATATCTATGCAAACCACATCATACTTATTAATTCATTTCGTTTGATTTTTTGTTTATCACAAATGCGGTTCTCGTAAATACAGTCTCAAAAAATATATCAGATCATGAAAAACATGATTGTTGCGTAGCTTCTAAAAAAAGCATCAATGAAGCGCCAACAATGTCAATCACTTTTTAAAAAATCATGTGCCTCATTCTTAATAGATTCCAAAACACAACGTCCGTATAACTATTTTTTAAATGAAATTGCTTTCGTGTTGATCACACGATATAAAAGCGCTATATCGACGCAGTGTAACAAATTTTTTGAAAAAACTTTTCAGTATTTAATAAGCGAGCATAAAAACGAAGCAATGTCGAATGTTGCGTGCGGTTACATCAACGTAGTTCGTTCAGCATTGCACCGAGATTAATTAACGCTGAGGGAAATATTGCTCTTGCTGGCAAAATGAAAACTAAGCGGAAACATTGGCTGTTAATGTGTACGTTTACATGCAGCACAGAATCAAACTGAAGTACTGGCGCAGCAGTTTGATATCAGACAAATATTTTCAACTTTCTGTATAGCTTTTACTTTTTAAAACATTTTTCAAAAACACGTTTGTACTAAAGTTTTTATTGTTATTTTAATTGATTTTTCATTGACCATAAATTCTTGCTATCTGAAATATTTTGATAATAGTTTCTACAGAAAATATGTTTATTATTTTCGACAGTTTATAAATAGTTTCTACATTGTATATTTAAAAACATAGTATGTTTCGATTCTCCTCTATCAAAATATAAAACAAAATAAAATAAAATCAACAGAACGGAAAGGTACGAAGCAAAATAACAAAATATAATAAAATAAAAAAGGATGTATATGTATATATACACATACATACATATATACATATATATTATATATATATACACATATAAACTTGAAAAAAATTTCCAATCAATTAAGCAAGTTAATTAATGGTTTCAATTAACTATTGTTCAGGCCATTTGTCGGACGGTTTCAACTAAAACTTACATTCCGTTACGAAACGAAGAGAGAAAAGAGTCTTTGATTAAGCATGCGAAAAACGGTGAAATATTGTATCGGTGAATATTTTTAATTACGGCACCGGACCGCGGCGCTATCGTCAATTTACGTTGTTAATATAAGTTCTCCTTTTTACTGGAATAATTTACGAATCCGCGATAATCACGCGCGAGCGCACCATCGTACAATATCGCAACAACGTTCGTGCGTTCGCGTTTACAAAACATCACGTATTTAGGGACACAAAATAAAGAATAACTTTCAAATAATTTTCACCGTATATTGCGATAATGAAAAATATCATCATAAATCGTCCACGCTCCGGAAAAATTATGAATTGTTGTACGAGGCATCCTGTTGAATATTTATGAGAGTGCAAAAACCGAGATAAACGAGACATGAAAAACAGATTAATTAAAAAAGTATGTGGCTCCTAAATATCTCGAGTTTTCAATTCTACAAATTTTTAACTATCTCCCAGGACTCTCGAGTTTTCTAACTTCGACTCGAGAGAAATAAAATTCAATTTTCTAAGATCTTATGAATAAAATGTTACAAAATATATTAATTAATGCTATAGCAACGTCATTTTAATACCGTTAATATCTTCGTTCTAAATATTACAAAACTGATGATCGTGAGATATTGCACTTATGTTTCGTCTTAATGGTACAATGGAACTTTGATATCTCCGTCCTTTCAAGTACTACGACGGAAAATGATATATTATGCAGGCTTGAAAGCTTTCCGAGGAATAGCCACTGAAACGTGTCTCTTCCGCATAATTTGCACAGCATGAAAAATATCACAATTGTTTCGCGAGCGCAGAGTACAAGCGTCTAATATACATAATTATGTAGACTTTTTATAATTATAATGAAAAAAGAGTAATAAATAAAAATTATTATAGAAATAAAACACAATTAAATTAGAAATTAAATTAAAATTGAACTAGAGATTTCTCGTTAAGCGAAAATTAATGAGTCAAAAGAAACGACCCAGAGTCGGGCTTACAAATAAATTAATTGACTTCCTATTCATTGAGTCTCGAATCGATTGAAGGCGTTAAAGTCAGACGATAATCAAAGTCACAGCTAGGAAAATGAACGGCACGGACGAGAAACAATTGACGAAGGACAATGGAGAATTGTTTTCTTTCTCCGGCAAAACCTACCACTATTACTACCCTCGACAAGGATCGATTACCGCACTCCGAATACTCACTCTCGAGTCTCTCGATGCGCTCTCTCTTGGTCTCGGCCTCCTCGGCAAGACGCGCCGAAGTTTTCACACCTTCGCCGCTTTTGTGGGTCTTCTCCATGATGGAACAGGCACGCAGCACGAAAGCGGGCACGGTCTCCTGCTTTTCCTGCCTCGGTATATCCACCAGCGTCCAATATTGCGTCTCCAGCTTAATTACGTCCTGGAAGAGCAAAACCGTCGGTAGCTCGGGCTACTGTCGCAACGACAAAAAAGGAAAATGGAGGGAAAAAAGCAGGCGCGCTTGTGCAAGGCGATCGGCCATTGTACCAGCGAATCCTTTTATCCGCGTGTCTTCGAACGAGTCACTGGCCCATTCATCAGACGTGGTTTAAGAAGATCGATTTCATCCTCGCGTCTTTAGAAAGCGTAGCATCACTAATCTGTATTCATATCTAAAATGATAGCTTACAAACTGTAAAGACATTTTGTCTGAAAAAAAATCTAATTTTATTATATAATTTTCCTATTTACTTCTTAAAAATAAATTTGGTCATATATATTTCTTTACTCTTATAATTTTAAATAAAATATCATCAATATATATATATTATATATATATATATATATATTTGATTTTAATTTCTTTATTTTAATTCATTATTATTCTTCTAATGCCAATTTTATTTTTATTTAATTCAACATCGATTTTTTAAAATACTGACGATTAAAATCGTTTTGAAAGCTAATTTTGATTAATTCCTGCTTGTTAATTTCGTAACGGTGAAAACACAGCTAATTTCAATGCCGACAATAAGTAGCAAGTTTATGCAAAGTCCTTACAAAAGATTAACAATAATATATCTGCATTACAGTGCTCCTGTATTATTTCCTTTTTCTCTCGCATCTAAGCGTTTCAAACAATACACCTCGGGATTACAACGGCCACCGATGAAACAAACAGCACGATTTACAGGGGACAATTTTATTTCGCGTTGGTATCGCTTGAGGATTAATCCCAAGTTGGTTTTTCCTCCGCTGACGGGGAAAAACTCGGAGCTCTCGAGTCTCTCGATAGCGGCTGCAGTTCCGAACGAAAGTTTACACCAGAAACAAACGTCGTCGCCCGAGCAAGTGCACCTGCGGGACCAACGATCGCGAATCGCTGTGTATGCACTCCGCGGGAGCAAAAGAACAAAAAAAAGGGAAAAAACAGAACTGAAAGATGACGATAACGCGCGCTCATCTTCCACGCCGACTGCGAATGTGTCCGACAATCGCGCACCTGGCTATCTTTCGCGTGCATCTTTATTTGTTGCTCATCCCGCGGGTGTGCGATCTATCTCTCGGACAACAAACGTTGCGCTCGCTGCGGCGTGGGTACTTCGAAAAATAAAATGCCTGCGTGTCGAATTGTTCCCTTTTGCCGTTGCTCGTCCGTCGATTTTGTGCAGCTGAAAATTTCGCGCCGAGTTACACGTGGACGAGCACCCGGATATTTTGCGCTCTGTTGCCTGTTTACTGACGAAATATCGTACATCTGTCACTTTTCCGCTGTTTCTTTACTGTGTCTTTTTTTAAATTATCGTTTCTCTATCGGTTTCATTAAGGCTCAATTCGCAAATTTATACGTATACGTTGAGTAATTTCAGAACAAGCTAAATATATAATGATACATATTGTGATGTATTTCTAGTAAATTTACATTATACATTATCTGCAATTTGTTGTTGCCTTTCTTTCCATATTTTATCCCAATTGTGTCAAAAATTATGTATATCAAATATTATACATAACTTTGTAAATAAGTCTGATTTATTTTTCAATCAAACAATGAATGAAGAAAAAAAATGTAACGATCGAGAAGCACTAAATTATTTGAGAAAAATAATTCGACGATAAGGATATTACAGCATTTACCATGAAATTATCTAGGAATTATTTATTATAGATAAAGTTAATTATAAGTTTCTCAATAAGTTAATTATAATTTATATTACGGTTACAAGTTAATAATTAGTTTCTTAGCGATTCCCTGTCTCCCTCCCTTTGACAGAGAACCGAGCGCAAGTGACTCGACCGAGTTTCCGCAGGAGCGGAGCTGTTATTCTCCGTTCTTGCTGTTTACCTGGTATAAACCGGCGGCATAATTACAACGTAATTACGTCAAGCGACAGTTTAGGATTGACGCTCGTAGACCACGAAGCACTTTGTGCTTCGTGGGACAAAAACATGTGTGCTATATGCAATTACGACGCCCGGTTCTTCCTGTCTTACCTTGATCATATTTTTGAGGAGGTTGTAACGCTGGAACACGTTGCGCACTTGCTTGCTGTCGGTGTACTTGCACATCAGCTCGACCAGGGCCCTTTTGGCGGTGTCGTAGCTACCGTCCAAACGTATCCTCACGACCCTCAGCCTCTCGTTCGTCTCGATCACCTCCTCCTTCGTTTGCCCACCTGCACCCGCCGCAGAGAAGCCGTATTGCAATTCGAAAAGTACTCGGAAGTACGGGCAATTTTCCCTCGATTACGAATACCTCGCATCGACGCATTTTACTCTCGTGACTGTGTTCAATCGATTTTCCTTATCACGCGCTTCAATCATCGCGCGTCGCGTAATTTAACAGGGCTGTTAAATTAAGCGCGATGGAAACGACGAAGACAGCGCGCATGCGAATGTTGCCTTCAATTAATTTTCAATTAACTCGACACCGCGATAACGTCGGAAGTTTCGACATAAATAAATCGAGCACGGTACGCGACGCGATAAGCAACTCGGTCGACGTGTTTCCGCTGTAGTTTCAGGGAAAGTTCGAATCCCAAAAATAAACAAAATCACGAAACATTTTAAGCAACATATGCTAGAGATATGCCTAAAAAGTTTTAGAAAATTTTATTGATCACTTTCTTATCCGATTTATATTCGATTTTTGTTTTATGAATCGATTAGAAGGACGTATAATTTCGAAAATTGTTAAGGAGTTGCGAAAAATAATAATTATCCTTGACTGTTTCACTAAAATAAAATATCGATTTTAAATTCTTTGAAAAATTTGCGATCGAAATTGAGGTCGCGGGTACACGTGTCCCGTACACATTGTTATTATCATACATTAGGAACTTATCTGATCGCATTTCACCGACAGCGGCACGGGAACGTTGACGTCGGAATTAATCATAGTTTCACATTCGTCGATGGGAAAGCGTTAATCTAAACCTGACAGAATTCTCAGTCGACGACGAAGTTTCCGTCCATTCAGCTTAATACAGCGACACACCGTTACTCTCCGGACCAACCGAATACAAGAGTTTCCGCTTCGATTCCATTCATGGGACAACTAACAACGTTCGCCGTTGGCAGACGGCCAGACACTTATTTCCGAGCGATATGTACATACGTCTCTATTGCCGATTTATCGGAATTGCTATATTTGGAACAAATGCTCACCCTTCACTTTTAACTCGTTTAGAATAAAATCAAGGAGTTAATAAAAATATTGACAATTTAATTTTGCTAACTAAGACTCGAAGCTAATTCTAAAGGAGATATTAATAGAGATATAAATACACAAATTATATTTAGAAAGCTTCATTTTTATAAGGCTTTTTTATTAAAAAAATTTTTTTAGGTAATTATCCTCACTGGATTGCATTCTTCTGGGTGAGATTATCGAGGACGATCATAAATTCACAGTGATTTTATTAGCGAGCTGTATGAAAGTACTTTTGAAGAGGAAGCACACGAACACCCCATCATTTCGCATAGTCTTTTTCAACGTGTGAAGTTATTGAGTCGCAGCGATTTGCCAAGATACCGGCTAAAGTTTAATTAAACTCCCACGCGAGAGATGAATGTGATAAAATATCGCTCGGACTTACTGGAAGTGCCCTCGTCCTTCACGTCCTGGACGATCCTCCGCACGCTCTGCGTGAACTTGCCCACGAGATTGGTGCTGGCTGAAACATGCAACATATTCGAGTTGAAATAATGGTTCTGGTGTATAAAGAAAACAAATACATCTCGCAATTTTGAATTAAAGAGCCTCGAATTGTTCAACGCTCGATGAATAACATTACAAAGTCAAATTGGCGAAAACGCGCGCGCTCCTTTCCACCGCGCCGGATAAAGACGCGCGGGAATAATGGATGAGGTCCGCTGATTGTGAGAGGACGAGAAAAAGAGATCTCTCTCTATAGGGGGAGGGGGAGGAGGCACAAACGTCACTCAGTGTATCCGGCGAGTGGATGGACTTGACGAGAAATACCAACATCGCTCGCGTCCGTCCGTGTCGGGCGACATTAAAGCGTGGCAGCGCGGAAAAGCAGGCTAAAGCTTCTTACTCGTAAAACACGGGATTGTTCTTAAAGCAGCCGTCGAAGTGGGCTTTTTAAAGCGATCAATTCGCCCCATCGACTGCGAATGCGACCGTTATCTGTATGGCAATTCAACTCGGCTCAGGCGACTCTTCTGTATTATCGCACGCGTGCGGCACATGTCGCGTGTTATTAACCGTCTATTTATATTAAGAGACGCGAAATTTCTCATCTGACACAATAGACAGCTTTATCATGTTTAATCCTCTCGGCCAGCTTAATCCCTTCGCGAGATGAGACCGGGGCAACGTCATACCTAACTATACTCCATAATTTCCAAATAAAGCTCCTGATTAAACGCCGGACTTCCACCGTCTGCACTTGTGTCGAATGCAGTTAGTATTTGGCTATTTATCGTTGCTGTCGGACTTGAAAACAAAAACAAATTTATAGTTAATTGAAACTAAATGAGCAAACTTTTTTCGCGTTGCAGAATTTTAAATAAACAAGCTGAGTTTTACTACTATAATGAGTTTATAAAACCATGCGAGAGTTAATTTTGGAAATTTCTAAATTTTATCGAGGAAGTTTCGTCACCACTGCCATATTATGCGTGAGAGTAAAGTTGGTTTAATTATACGAGATAATTCACGCGTTTAACATCGCTATAAGTCTAAGTAAAGTAACATGAGAATGTATTCAACGAAGTTTCCGATATCTTCCGCAACATTTCCCTCGCGGGGAAAATAGTTCCGTCGATTTCTTTCTTGCGAGGAATCGTTCCATAGGTTGTTAACGGGTGAACGTAAACATGGTAATGCTGAGACTTTTGTCGGAGCAAGGAGGGAAAGATTTTCTCTCGTAGCGCAAAACGCACAGAACGCCCAACAATCCTCTTTTACGGCTTTGTGAGTCTCGCTATTACAAAGCCAAAAAGTCAACATTCCTCGTATTCTTTGTTCCGGTCTCGCGTATACCCACACGATGCGGAAGTTCATTGCGGCAAAACGGAAAACGATTCAAGGACCGTCAACTGCTAAAAAAACTTGGGCTTTTTTGAGGAACTTGGAGACGAGTTTTTTTTGACAAAGAACTGGATTAATTGTCGTTTTGACGATAGAACATTCTCGTGTAAGAATGTGTGTGTAAAATTTATTATTTGACTATATTTTCCATTTGATCATTTTTTATTGTATCTATATTACAATGTGAAAGATGATGATCGCACAAAAGGAATAATATGACTCCTCGTTTCCCACGCAATATGGAAAACTGAGTTTCGCAACATCTGTCATGTTCATTAGTATGAAACTGCTCGTTCGGCGAGCTCGGCTGGCTGAGAGCCAGCTTGTATAAGACACCTTATACATCTGTATTATCTCGCTCTTTATAATGGAGAACGTTCGGCCAACGCGCGCGAGAACGGTGGATAAACTCGCTTTAATAGTAGATACTTCGACAGGCTTTCTACGGTGAAACGATTATTCTTGTTACAAAATAGGAGAAGTAAACTTTTCTGTATTTGCTCCACTTAACCGCTCTCTCTGTGATCATTATGTCAAAGTAATTTCATTTTCGATACAGACATCGTACATATCCACTGAAATAGTCCATTTTATATCAAAATGATGGTCATAGAGAATTTTGTCTTATTACTTCGTGAAATAAATATTTATATAAGTTAGAATAAAATAAAATATGTATACAAGTTATATAGAATACAATAAAATAAATATTATAGATATTATTTATATCTAGAATATATAAAAATTATAAATATCAAAATCAGTAACTTTTTTATTCTGAATAAATCCTCTTGGTGGATCAATAGTTTTCTTCCATCATAAGCTTTTAAAATCGCGTAATTTTAATGGAACCGACGATATCAAATAACGTAATTTGCCTCAGTGATCAATTACGCGAATAGGGAACTTTCTCATTTTCGTTTTCGTTTTACGGTGTGGCTTTTGATTGGGCGAGTGCGATACATTCGCGGCGTCATCGTTCGCCGACAAAAGGGCGTTATCTGGTCTCGTTAAGATAATATGATTTGCCGAGAAGCTGGCTGGCTGCCAATCTGTAAAACGTACCGTCTTGCCCCTATAGTCCTCCGAATTACTCGGTAATTGCATTTCGTCGACTCGCGGGAATTTAGTGGATTCAAATGGAGTAATAGAGAACCTTTTCAGATGAAATCTCAAAGTACAAGAGTGTCTGACTATATCTTTTTTTTCTGAGAAGAGATATGGTTATTTCTTCGAAGAATAATCTTATTCATTAATTTTTGCAATTTTATATATTCATCAATTTCTTAATTCTTGTAGATTTCTATGAAAAATGTTTAATCGACAATTTCGGCGAATTGCATCCTGACGTACGCTCGTTTCGAAGTACGTAACCTGCAGTAGTAAAGATATGTTTATGATCCGACGTATGCGCGCTACGTAAATACGAACTAGTTCCGAACATATGTGTACATAAAGAACGAATGTAAATTTTGCGTTATACAGAGTATCATAATTTATGCGATTGGTATACCAATAGTAAAAATCAGTTGTTGAAAATCGCGACTTGCGAGACGTCGCGCATAAGATGTCATTACAGGATAAAGAATAACCGGCTGGGTACAAGTATAATCCAACTTCGATATACGTCGCGTCTTTCTCCTTTCTCCACATCACGTTTGCGTTTTATAAAATTTTCTAAACCCGACGCCACTCGTGACTTCTTTTCAAGAGGACTCACGTCAAGTCACCCGCGGGGAATTCCCAACGAAAGGCTCTAAACCCTTCCGGTACGTCACGCAGTATCGCGCCATCCGGTATTTCATCCGCGCCGAGTCGAGAGGCCGAGGCGAGGGGGGTTGCGCGTATGTCGTCCAGCATTTGTACTTCGTTGCCTTTTCCAGTGGTTTTCGTACGGTTCCATTGAAATTCAGCACGCGTTTCCTACGTGGCTCTCATAGACCGTCGCTTCTTCGATCACGAGGCACCGAGATGTATCTCGCGGAATAAGTGGCCATGGAAGGAGGTCTTCTCTTCGCTCGGCACACGGGCCGGATGCCAAAATGCAACAAGCGCATTGTCGTTCAAACCGTGCAAAACGGATTCGTTCTTCCCGCATCGGCACGCGCCAGCTAAGTGAACTGTCGTTTTCGATTGCCCGAAGGTCGAACGTGATCGTTGTTGAACGAACTCTCGTTATCCCCCAAATTCGCGCCGGCATCGGCAATCTGTTCCGCGATCAAGTAAAAATAGAAAAAGAGATGTTCTACTGTCTTACAATTGTTAGATCTGGATTTTCGAGTAAGTTGAAGCTTTATGTTCTTATGTTACCGAACTCGGTATGTCGGTGAAGTACCTATGCATTTAGAAATTATATACTCAAAACAGGAATGAATTAAAAAAGAAAGAAAGAAATTTGAATCACCGCACACTGTAATTACAATTCATGAATAAATTAATAAAAAGCAATAATATAGGAGAAAAGCTGAAAAAAAATTCGATGAAATCTACACACCTGCGTAGCTAGAAATTAATTTCATTTCATATACAGTCGTCATAATGCGAATTGCATAGTTTATCATATTTTAACAATCGACACTAAACATTTCTGTAATATTATATAATGTACGGTGCGAAAGCTCTTCGATTTGCTCCCTACCGCTCGTAAAGCAACGCGATGAGTTTTTGCGCGTGCGGTAATTTGCCAGAAGACAAAAGGCGCGGAAACGACTTGTCTGGTCACGATGAACGTTATTTCCCGAGGCCCTCCTAGGTCCTAACAGTCGTAACCTCGATAACCTTCTCTACAGGAAGAGAGCGCGATCGTTAAGTATACTCGTAAGAACTGTAAGAAGAGGGTCGGTCTTCCGACTTCCAGGATTCTTATTCTGGAAGCCGAAGTTTCTTCGTCGATCTCAGGAGATAGTTAAGCTTGCGACCACAAGCATGTCGTCCTTTTGGCCGTTATTACCTCTGGAATTGTCCAACTATCACGGAAAATCGTGGCTATTATTGGAGTCGAATTTTTTGCTCCGCACGCGAACTGGCACAAGTTATTTACCGTGAGATCTGACACAGATAGTTTATCCTAAAAAAGATTTTTACCATTCCTTAAAAATAGTAATTATAGTATCGATACTATACTGCACAATAAGTTAAATAATGTGTACCTAACATTTTAGAAATAATGATAATTTAAATATAAATTTTGTTTGTAAAATAAATTCGCCTATTATTTAATTAAATGGAGGAATAATTATATTAATTTTCCGAGTAGTTATTGCGATATCAGCATGTAAATAAAGGTTTCGTGAAGGAGATAAAATTGTCGTTAATGATTTATAGACGCTTAAATGATTATTGGGCTATTTTCTATGATGAGAGTCTTTATAGTCAGGTTTCTCCTAAACTAAATAGCGCTCGATATATTTAAAAATGTAATACCAATATAGAGACCTAAATGTGTTTTACTTATGTGACATTGCCAAACTATGAAAAAGTCATCGCTAACGATGATGCGGAACGGTTTTGCAGAGGCCGTTTCTTTATGAGTTGCATCCTCATCATGTCCGCGCACTATTGAAGATCGGTAAACCGGATTTTTCGCCAATGAAAGCGGCGCCGTTATTCGAGCGACTG